GGTCAGCCTCAGGGGTACACCCTTAGAAAGCAGACCCGTGCTAGATTAGAGGTGGCGAGGACAAAAGGGGAGAAAATAAATGTAGTAACTATAATTTTTTAAAATACATTTTTTTTTTTTTTTTTTACAGAGAGGGATAGAGAGTTAGAAACATTGATGAGAGAGAATCATTGATCAGCTGCCTCCTGCACACCCCCTACCGGGGATGTGCCCGCAACCAACGTACATGCCTTTAACCGGAATTGAACCCGGGACCCTTCAGTCCGCAGACCGACGCTCCATCCACTGAGCCAAACCGGTTTCGTCTATAATTTATTGAGGGAACATAAGTGATCCGAGCCGTACACTAAGCATTTTATGAGAATCACCTCCATTCTCACCCAGGAAGGAAGCGGGCACTTTTATCACTTCCACTGTACACACAAGGATGCGGACGCTCAGAGGTGCCATCCCCTGGCCAGGGCCAAGCAGCGGCCTGGGGCCACACTGAACCAGGTCAGTCTGGCACAAACCCCAAGCACGCACCCATGCCAGGCCCCTGCCCGTGTGGGCTGGGGGTGGAGCTAGGGCACAGTCACGGCCCAGCACCAGGAGGGGGACCCTGGATGCTGATGGGTGTTGGGGGGGATAGTAGCAGCCGGGTCTGCCATGGTTTGGGTGGCTTTCACCGGCAGGCTCTGAGGCCAGGCCCCTGCCTGCTTCCCACCAGCCCTCCCTAAGTCACACCCTGTGGGCAGAAGCCTCAGCGAAAGTTCCGGTGTGTCATCACCTCCACCCCGCCGCCTCTGGCCTGAACCCCAACATTGCCAGTCACTTCCCTTCGGGGCCCTGTGCCCCAGGCTTCCCCGGGGAAGGAGGGCAGGCAGGAGGGGTCAGAGGCCCTTCAGAAGGCGGGGACTCCAGACCACTCCGCGGAAGAGAGAAATGAGGTTCTACCTGGAGAGGATTTTTCACTGATGTTGGTTTGAGGGAAGCAGTTCCTGCTTCCTTGGATCCGCTAAGCCAGTGGGACAGGCATGGGGCCAGCATTCAGTGAACGTTTGCTGACTGACCAGGCTCTGAGAGAGCCTCTGGTCTGGCTGCCATTTTACAATTAGGGAAACTGAGGCATGGGATAGGAAAGGGAGCTACTGGCCAGCTGTTAGACCCTGGCCTGGACCCTCTGTCTTCTCCCCATGACCAGGGACAGTGTGTGTGTGTGTGGGGGGGGGGTGTATGGAGGGGAGGGGGAGACTGGCTCATGGAATGGGCTGCTCTTGGCTGCTGTATGTCCGGGAGATGAGGGGTCTCCAGATAGAGGGGTACAGGACCGAGAACGGCTGTGTGGTACCCACAGCCCTAAACCACCCCGGACATTCTGCCCCACGAGGCGGGTCCTGACTGTCCCTGGCCCTGTGCGGATATGGGTTGTACCCCCGGAACTTTACAGCACCCCTCTTAGGAGGTTCCTATTTTGGGCCCCAGTTACAGAAGAGGAGACTGAGGCTCAGAGCGGTGATGTGACCTAGAGACATGCTGAATACAAAGTCCACACAGCCGGGAGCTGGGATTCCAAGCCAGGTTTTCTCACAGGCTAGGGTGATTTACCATCACCCTCCACTGCCACCCCAAACCAGACACCCGGGGCCAGCCCCGGACAGGAATCTGCGGAGACGTGCAGCAGGCACTGAGCCGGTGCATGCATAAGACCAGTTCCTCTGGGGGCCCGAGGTCTGTCCAGAGTAGGGGTGTCGAACTCAATCAGAGAAGGGGCCAAAATCTAAAATCCAGCCTAAATCGCGGGCCGAATGGTTTACTGAACAGTCATAAACTGTCATTGTGATGGAAACGCAGTGGAGTGCAGTGATGACAGCGCGGTGCGGGCCACATTGCAAGGCCTGGCGGGACGGATTTGGCCCGCGGGCCTTGTGTTTGACACATGTGGTCCAAAGCATGCGGATACAGACACAAGTCAGCTGAAACCGGTTTGGCTCAGTGGATAGAGCGACGGTCTGAAGAATGAAAGGTCCCAGGTTCGATTCCGGTCAAGGGCATGTACCTTGGTTGCAGGCACATCCCCAGTGGGGAGGAGGAGGGAGGGTGCAGGAGGCAACTGGTCGATGTTTCTCTCTCATCGATGTTTCTAGCTCTCTATCTCTCTCCCTTCCTCTCTGTAAAAAATCAATAAAATATATATTTTTAAAAGACACAAGTCATATGATGACACTCAGTATATGTTTTACTTCATTGCCACATGCGAGGGGTGTTATATGTGTCCCGTTTCAGTGATGGGGATAATGATGCTCAGAGGGGACTGACACACCCCAGGTCATGTAGGTGTGGTCTGAACTCAGGTTTGCTTGGGTCACATGCCTTTGTGAAGTTAAAGGCCTAACAGGACCTGGCCGAACTGCAGGCAGCTGAGTCCCAGACCGGGGGAGGCGGGAGGGGACGGCCATCGGAGCAGGCGCCCGGGGGCCCGGTGGCTCCATCTAGACCTGCAGGACTCAACGGGAGCCGCGTGCTGGTGTGGTCCGGCCGAGGCCGCAGGGAGGGGAGCATGGTGTCGGGAGTGTGTCTGGCCTCCACACAGGCTGAGGAGGGCCTGCGGGACAGCCACCCGCCGGCAGGTCCCCAGCCGCACTCCCAACGGCCACTCGAGGCAGCACAAAGGGGGCTCTGAGCTCAGCCCGGCCGCCACACTGAGCCCATTCATTCTCCCAGGGATGTTGCAATTGCCCTGGCGCCAGGCCCCCGGCACTGACAAGGCAACCCAGTCTCGAGGGGGCCGGACCCCGGGGTCTCACACCGTGTGCCTGAGGCTGGGGTTCCCGGCCTGACCCATTCCCGTCCCACAGCACCAACTGCCGGGGTGTGCTGAAGCCGCAGCGGGCCTGGGCTTTCACCCAACCACCCCAGGCAGTCGGAGCCGTGAGATCTATTCCCAGAAAGGGAAACTGAGTCCCAGAGCGGTCAGGTCCGCTCACACAGGAAGGATCACGCAGAAAGAGTGGGCCTGGCCGGGAAGCCAGCACTGGCTGATACCACGGTCTCAGCAGGGAGTCCGAGTCCCTGGGATGCCTCCTGGGAGAGAAGCTAAGGACCCTCAGCCAGGCCACAGGCCCCTCTCCCTCCTCTAACAACAACCCAGAAGTGGGAGGGGCACCAGCCTGAGAGCGAGGGCGCCTGCATGTCTGTCTAGTCTCTGCTCTTCTTTAGCCTCGCTTTTCTCATCTGTGAAATGGGGCAGTACCAGGATATGCCTCACAGTGGAAGCTTCTAGCTCCATGCCTGGCTGGCATGTTGGCCCCGTGGGCTGTGTTCCTTTTCTCACAGCCATGGTGTAGCCCCAGAGGCCTGGATGACAAAGCCACGCCACTGGGGGTTGCACCTGTGGGCTGCCTGCTTATCCTGCATTTGTGCCCATTCTAGAGATCAGGCGACTGAGGCTTCAGAGCAAGCATGTCAAACTCGCAGTCCAAACAAGGAATATTTTTGTGGCCAGCCAATATAATGGTATGTAAGAAACATTTTAATAAAAATTTCATAACTTGATTTTTACAATATCCTGTTATACATAATTATTAATAATGAACTACAATGTTTGCTAATGACTGGTTACTATAATCATGCTGCATTCATCTCCCTTATGTACCTTATACACAGGTGCACCATTTCTCTCCACTAATACCAGCAGCGAATATTCTAGCAGCCGATGGCCACGTCATTAGTCTTGTACTGACTGGTTTCGTGTGCGCAACAGGAAATGTTTCTCTTTTGGAGAACAAGAAAAATAGCTTTATTTGCATTGCATGACGCTTATTAATCTGCGCAGTTATTTAGTGTCTGGTAAGTTAATGTTCAAGAAAAAATATTAATTTTTATTAAAATGTTCTATTATGTTAACGATGACTCCTTTATTTCAGCCCTTTGTATTCAGCATGTCTCTAGCGAACTACACCTACGTTTCTATGAAAATGGAAGCTTTTGTTTGTTTGTTTTTTGCGGCCCACATACACCTAAACCTTGTTCATTGGGGCCGTGTTAGCCTGTGAGTTTGACATGCTTGCTTCAGAGGCTCCGGGAACTTGTGTGTGGCCCACAGAAGTAGGCCTTGAAGCCCGTGGTCTGTGCCCCACCCCCCATCCTCATCACCTGTTGAGGGGTTTCATTTCCTCATCTCTGTCCCGCCCGTGAGAGCTCACACACACACACACACACACACACACACACACACACACACATACACACACGCACACACAAACACACGCACACACAAACACACGCACACACGGGTTGTGCGGTGGAAAGCTCCAGGCTGTGGGCTAAGGGACTCGAAAGGGCAAGTTGTAACCCAGTTTGTGCCACCAACACACTGGACGGCCTGGGGCGACCCCTCTGCCTGCCTGTGCCTCGGTTTCCCCACTTCTGTACCATCAGGGGGGTGCACCGAATGACCGCTGTGCCCCTGGTGGCTTGAACAGGCGTGAGCATGCCTTGCTGGGCACCAGTGTGGCGCCAGGCTCGGCACCAAGCTGGACTGTGAGGTGGGCATCGCAAGCACCTTCTCACAGGGAGGAACGGGCTCGGGGGGTGAGCGCCTCAGCCCGGATCACACCGTGACACGGAGGCCGGCCAGGGCTTGAACTTGGGTCTGGTATCTCAGAGCCCACGGGCCTAAGCACTGCTGCCAGTCCACCCCCAGGCGGCTCAGAATAAACTGCCCTCCGCGCAGGCCTGACTCCCTGCACCCTCCCGGCCCAGAGACCAGACCCCTGACAGCTGTTGGCAGGTCCCCAGCGGTCCCCAGCCCAGCGGGCTCGGTTCCCAGAGCCAGTGGTTTGCTCCCCAGACCTCCCGGTCCCACGGGCTTGTGTTCTGCCCCTGCCCCCCCGCCAGCTTGCCGCTGAGGACAAGGCGGAGGCCCATGGGGGCTGGTCTCAGGGAGGCCCCAGCCCCCGCCCCCTGCGGAGAGGGCAGGGAGGGTAGGGCTGTGGGAGTTTCACTGGTTTAAAAATACACAGAGGAAGCGGGTGAGAGGGTGAGAAAGGGGAAGGGGAGGTGAGGAGGCAGCGTTGATGTCCAGAGGCTCGAGCAGCCTCCTGCCCGCAGGCCAGCAGCCCTGCCCGGCTGACAGGATGACGGAGAAGCCCAAGAAGGCGAGCAGAAAGTTCAGTGAGTGCCGCCCTGCCTCCCGCCGCCCGCCCTCCATCTCAGCCTCTCTCTGCATCTGCTCTCTGCGGCTCTGTCTCCTTCCTGTTTCTCTTTCGGTCCATGTCTGTCTCTCTGGAGGTCTCTGCTTCTGGGTTCCCAGGTCCTCATCTCTCCATCACTCTGGGCCAGGGTCTCTCTCTCTCTCTCTCTCTCTCTTTCTCTCTCTGGCCAGCGTGTCTCTCCATCTCTGTGTTTCTGTGTGCCTGTCTCTCCCTACCCTGACTCAGTCTCTCCTCTCATCTCCGCTACACACTCCATCTCTATGCCTGGTCCTCATTTGGTCTCAGCTGGGAAGTACTGGGATAGGGCAGGCGTGTTCGTGTGCGTGTGCATGTGCGTGTGTGTGTGTGCGCGTGCCACGGATGCTGTCCCATATCCCCACGGGCAGGGACCCTGGGACCCAGAGCAACTCAAGGAAGGGCCACACCCACCCATGGCTGCTTCCCCCAGTCAGTCCCTTCCTGGACCCAGCAGGCTTCTGCCTGCCCTGGGCCCTGGTGTCTTTGACCTGACAGCCCAGTGTGTGTGTGTGTGTGTGTGTGTGTGTGTGTGTGTGTGAGTCCAGGGCAAGGCTTCTGGCTGCATTCCACAATGAAGAGACGAGACCCAGAGTGTTGCCTGAGATTCTGTGGGACTGTAGACCGGGGCTCAGTCTCATGTCCCCAGACGGGGCCTCAGTTTCCCTCCTTGTCCCACTGCTGTTCCCTCCAGATCCCTGTGCCCAGGAGACAAGTCAGCGGGGTGAGAAGGAGGCCTCCCTCTGCTGGTGGCTCAGTCCTGCCCGGGCAGAGCTCTCTGGGGGCAGACTCCGGTGTTTTCTGAGTCTGTCAGGGGCAGAGGCTGACACCAGTGAGCGGCGGGCAGGGCTGGAAGAAAGCCCCGAAGCACTGGCCTTTGTTCGGGCTGAGCCTTGCTGTGTGACCTCTCTGGGCCTCAGTTTCCTCTCTCGTCAAACAGAGGCATCTTACCTAAATGCCAGCGTGCTTGTGGGGACCGAGGAGGCGGAGGATGCTGAGGAAGTGGGAGATGCTAGAGTTTTCCCCTTTGTGTTTAACTGGAGGTCAGATGGTGGCCGCTGCGAGAAGGGGCAGCCCCACCGCTGGGGACCAGAAGGAGGAATCCACACCCCACCCCTGCAGAAACGAGGAGATGGTATCACCCGAGCAGCACTGAGCACTGCCGCCTGGGTTAGACGGGGCTCAGCTGACAGGAAGCAGAGAACCACAGGGCCTGGGCCCCTCAGGCTGTTGACAATCCCTTTCTCGCTTCTCCCTCGCCCCAGGTGCTTACACACTCACCCCCTCCATGCAACACACACACGTGCACACGCCCACACACATGCAACTTCACCTGCAGGCTGTGGAACTAGTGTGTGGGGGGGGTTTCATTTCACGTCTCTGAACCTCAGTGTCCTCGTCTGGAAAACGGGGGGTTCAGCTGTGCTGTGGGGTTGTACTGAGAACTCAGTAAGGGGATGCGTGCTGCAAGTTTGACACGTGCAGAGCATCATAGCGATCAGCAGCTTCGTCACCATCATGACCTGCACCTCCATTACTTCTTTCCCCCTTCATTACTTTTTAAAAATATATATATTTTATTGATTTTTTAAAGAGAGGAAGAGAGAGCGATAGAGAGGTAGAAACATCAATGAGAGAGACACATCAACCAGCTGCCTCCTGCACACCCCCTACCGGGGATGTGCCTGCAACCAAGGTACATGCCCTTGACCGGAATGGAACCCGGGACCCTTCAGTCTGCAGGCCGACGCTCTATCCACTGAGCCAAACCGGCTATGGCTCCATTACTTCTTTTCCCCCCTTCATTACTTCTTGAAGACATTTGTGTGCTCGGCACCATGGTGAGCATGTCATTTACATGCTTTCCTTCAATCCTCCCACTGACTGTAAGAGGTGGGTGTCATACTCTCCATTTTACTCCTGTGGAGAATGGAGCTCAGAGGGGCCAAGTGCCTTGACGAAGGCTGCACAGCAGGAGTGGGGAAGAGCAGGGATTCCAGCCCCGGGCTGTGTGGTTGCCTGCCCTCCTGGAACCCTCAGGGTCAATAGCACGCACCTAGTATCTGTTATTATTGCCGCTGGCATTGCCATTCCTCCTTTCCCCTCTCTTCCCTGCCAGAGTTCTTCAAGTTCAAGGGCTTTGGGAGTCTCTCCAACCTCCCCCGGGCCTTCACCCTGAGACGGTCCTTGGCTCCCGCCACTATCCGGCCGAACCTAACGCCTGAAATCTTCGAGGCCACGCAGGACGACATGGTGACGGTCCCCAAGAGCCCCCCGGCATACGCCCGGTCCAGCGACATGTACAGCCACATGGGCACCATGCCTCGGCCCAGCTTCAAGAAGCCTCAGAACCGAAAGGCCACCCGGGCGGCCGGCCCTGAGCCCCACCCGGTGCCCCGAGCCCTGCCTGAGCCCCCAGGCCTGCCTGACCCCCCAGGCCTGCCTGAGCCCCGAGCCCTGCCTGACCCCCCAGGCCTGCCTGACCCCCCAGGCCTGCCTGACCCTCCAGGCCTGCCTGAGCCCCCAGGCCTGCCTGACCCCCCAGGCCTGCCTGATCCCTCAGGCCTGCCTGAGCCCCCAGGCCTGCCTGAGGCCCCAGCCATGGAGGCAGCCGAAGAGGAGGCGGGGGAGACCACAGTCCCCCCGGAGGACACAGAGGCAGCCGAAGAGGAGGCGGGGGAAACCGCAGCCCCCCCGGAGGACACAAAGGTGAAACCGAGCCCTTCAGCAGTGAAGGCCAGCCCCGTGAGAGAGCCTGAGGACCCCGGGGCAGACACAGAAGAGGAGACAGACCCCAGGAATGCACCCCCAGACAGGTAGGTGCCACCAGGGGAAGGTGAGGGCGGGACCTGCAGGGATGGGTTTCCCGTCTTCTGCTCTTAGACCCTGGAGAGGAACACCCCCCCGCCAACACACACACACATCTAAGTAAACCGCCTTAACCAAGCGCCCACTACAAACCAGGCACTGTGCTTAGCCCCCCACTCTCAATTACTTTTCAAGGAAAAAACAAAACAAAACTGGGAGGAGAGAATAGGTTCTGTCCATTTGAGGAAACGGATTCAGAGAGGGCGGGTCTGCTCCCCTCAGGTAGCACATCTAACCAAGGACAGAGTCAGGATTTGAACTAAGACCCGCCTGACGCCGACCTTGTAAGGCTGCGGTGACAATTCAAGAATAATATATTGTACTTATAAAATCCTAGCACAGTGCCTGGCACCCCACAAACAATAAACGGGAATGCTTACATTTATGATGAATAAAAGGAATGCTTTCCACCATCCCTGGCTGCCCCACGACCCACCCAGGGTGCGCTGCGGTTCCCTCCTGAATTCAGCCTCATTGGGGCGCGGAGGAGCAGGGATTGCATGTAGGGGAGGGGCTGGACGGGGAGGGGGCGTGTCAGGGGCGTGGCTTTTCCAGCCCCGGACGCTGACAGGCGTGGGGAGGGGGCGTGGCCGAAGGCGGAGGGGCGTGGCCATGGTGGGCGTGTCCTCCCCGCCGGCGGAGCGGCGCCGGCAGAGGGCGGGGGCGTGGCGGGGGCGTGGTTTGAGCCTCAGGCCCCGCCCCCAAGCCTTGCTCTGGCTCCGGAGCTGGGTGGCCTGAGAGAGGAGGGAGCCCTTGGGCTGAGGAGGTCCTCAGGCTGCAAACGGGGAACCATGACTGCCGTGGGCCGGAGGTGCCCCCCGCTAGGACCCAGAGGGTGAGTGACCAGCGGGCCGCGGGGAGGGCTGGCGGGACCGTGGTGGTCTGAGGGGGGGACATCCGTGCCCCTAGTACAACTGGCAAACCGGTGCTGGCGTAGCATCAGGGACTTCTGCTGTGACTCTGCCTGTTCTGTTCCGAAACAAGTTGGGCATTTATTCCTCAGAACAGCCCCGGGAGAGACACACTACATAGTTCATCTTACAGAGGAGGGAAGAGAGGTTTGCTGCGCCCGGTTTGACACAGTAGCGAAGCCAGAATCAGGGTCTAACTCCGCCTTCCTGCCTGTGCCCTTAGGGTTGGGCAGCCCATTCCCCTCCAGCAGGGCCAGGGCCTCGGAGAAGGATGCTCTGGAGAAGCCTTGGGAATGCCAAGTCTGGGACCCGGCCCTCCTCCCCTGGGGCAGGAGCCTGGGGGTCCTGGCCGTGCCTCTGGCATCAAGCATGGCCTAAGCTGTCAGAGGAACACTCCTTCCCCCTCGCCCCCTCAGCCTCTAATCGTCTGGAGTGTCCGGGGGCCGAGGGGTGGGTTTGCAGGTCAGGTTGAGCCCTCCTGTGTCCTGGGACCCAGTGTCCCACGCTGCCTCTCAGCCAAGGAGGAGGCCAGGAACTGCTGGGCACGTTCAGGAGCCCCGAAGCCCTGGCCCGGGTGCCCTCGGAGTCAGGAGCGCCGCTCGGCCCGTGTGACCTCAGGCTTGCCCTGCCTGCTCTGGGCCTGTCTCCCCAGAAGCCCAGATGGGCCTAGGATGGTGTCTGAGGATCCAACCAACTTGGGGAGGAAGGCATATGAGAACGGTCGCTGAGCAAGACTGGGGTCTCGTTCCCACAGGAGGCCCCATGGGGGGTCCCAAAAGGGATCCCAAGGGGGTGTTTGCAGGGGGTGCCCAGAAAGCAGCCTAATTGGCTGTCCCTCCCCCACCCCGGGGAGCAGGCGCACCTGGAGCAGAGGAAGGAAGGAAGGGGAAGAGGTGAGGCTGCAGGGGTTTCCTGGTGCCAGTTCCCTGTGAGATCATGGGATGAGGAGGAAGGAGGGAGGGGCCGACACGCAGGGTAAGAAGAGCCTTTAGGGGAGTGTCAGCCCAGTCTGCCCAGCCCAGCGCCCTCTGCAGGGAAAGCCCGGCCCGAGACCGCCGACACCCTCCCCTCTGTCTGTGTTACAGAGGAGGGAGCCCCACACCCACACCCACACCCTCTCCCACCCCCACACCCTCTCCCACCCCCACACACCCCCCATCCCCACACCCACACCCACCCCAACCCCCACCCCCACACCCACCCACTCCCACACTCACTCCCACACCCACACCCACTCCCACTCCCACCCCCTCACCCTCTCCCACCCCCACACACACCCCCACCCCCACACCCACCCACTCCCACACTCACCCCCACACCCACACCCACTCCCACCCCCACCCCACACCCCCACACACACTCCCATCCCCACACCCACACACACCCACTCCCACCCCACACCCTCTCCCACCCCCACACACACCCCCATCCCCACACCCACACCCCCATCCCCACACTCACCCCAACCCCCACCCCCACACACACCCACACCCACCCACATCCACACCCACTCCCACCCCCACACGGGGATCATCAGGCCGGGCCACCAGCAGAGGTGAGGGAGATCTGGCTCATAGCTGGCCAGGCCCTGTCCGGAGTTCCCAATGGGCACTGTCTGCCACATGGGCCATGCACGTGTGTGCGTGCGTGCGTGTGTGTGTGTGTGTGTGTGTGTGTGTGTGAGGTGGTGGGGGGAGCTTCTATTTGCCACATTTTATCAGTGAGGGGACTGAGGCTCAGAGAGGGGAAGGGGTTTTCCTGGGACCGCAGAGATGAAGTGTCAGAGCCTAGATGTGACAACCCCAAGTCCAAGCTCCTAACCACCAGGCCATGTCTGACCGCCTGCAAGTAAAAAGCTCCAGCGCTGTTTCTACTGTTGTTTCAAACGCCTTCCCATCACCCCCCGGAGAGATCTCAGGAGCCTCGTCTGCAGACGAAGACGCTGAGGTTTTGTAAGGTCACAACTCGCCTGAGATCACACAGGGAGTGCAGTTGGAATCCTCGTAGTTTGACTCTTTGCTGAGATGTCACTGTCGCCCAGACCCCATTCCGGTCCTGGGGAGGCAGCAGTGGGCTGGTCTCCGGAGCCCGTCCCCGGTGGGGAGACAGGAGGAACGGGAAAGCGAGGTATACCGTCCGAGGAGAAGCGTTAGGAAGGAAGGAAGGTTTAAACCAATAAGGGAGGGACTCGGTCTTGGGGGAGCGGCCGGCGGTGGCAGTCTCGGAAGGTTAGCCAGGAAAACCGTCTCTGAGAAAATGACGCTCAAAGAGGATGAGGTGCGGTCCCTCCTGCTCTCTGGGGGAGTGTCCGGGCCGAGGGGAGGTATGGACAGAGGTCCCCAGGTGGGGCCGCATTGGCATATTTGAGAAGAAGGCGGTGGGGTGGGGAGGTTGGGGAGAGGAGGTAGGAGACAGGCTGGCTGGGCGGCCATTGCCGGCCCGGAGCGCAGGAGGTGCCGCTGGGACTTGGGGTGACCGGGCCTCTCCTCTGAGGGATCTGAGTGCGATTCTGCTCACTGCAAAGGTCCCGCCCAACTGTCCTCTTCTCCCCCACAGAGACCCGGCCCTCCACCCCCATCCCTGGGGCTGTTCCGAAGGAAACTGAGGCCAAAACCAGTTTGGCTCAGTGGATAGAGCGTCGGCCTGTGGACTGGAGGGTCTCAGGTTCGATTCCGGTCAAGGGCATGTACATTGGTTGCGGGCACATCCCCAGTGGGCGGTCTGCAGGAGGCAGCTGGTCGATGTTTCTCTCTCATTGATGTTTCTAACTATCCTTCTCCCTTCCTCTCTGTAAAAAATCAATAAAATATATTATAAAAAAAAAAAAAAAAAAAGAAGAAGAAGGAAACAGACTCGGAGGAGGTGGTACCCGATGGGGGAGCCGGGGCACCCTGTGCTGCCTGCACCCCAGCCCGATGCCAGGCACTGAGAACGGGCCAGCTCCCCCCTTTCCTCCCGGAATGTTGACTCTGGTCCAGGAATTCCCAGTGCTCCCCGGAGTCCCACGACCCTCTCGGCCCTGGGGGTGACGTCAGCTGCTGGGCATCTGGTAGTGATTACCCACGGGGGAGGGGGCTGGGGGCCCGGCCGCTCAGGCTCCTCGGCCTCGGGCGGCTGGTCCTTGTCTTACGAAGGGGCCAGCTGCTCCGGGATCTCATTTCCTGTGGAGACTTTCTCACAGTCCCCGAGACCCCCGGACGCCTCGGCTGTGGGAACGGCGCCCCCGCCCCCACCGAGGCATGTCCCCCTGAGCCCTCAGGGGACCCCGCCTGCAGGGGAGCCACCTATGACGGGGTGAGGGCTGGGAGGACGGGGTGGGATGTGTCAGCAGCTGAGTCCCACTGACTGATATCCTTTTTGTTTGTTTAAATGTATTTTATTGATTTTTTTCAGAGAGGAAGGGAGAGGGATAGAGAGTTAGAAACATCGATGAGAGAATCCCCAGCTGCCTCCTGCACAACCCCCACTGGGGATGTGCCTGCAACCAAGGTACATGCCCTTGACCGGAATCGAACCTGGGACCCTTCAGTCTGCAGGCTGACGCTCTATCCTGACATCGGCTCTGGCTCCGCTTCGGATGGATGTTTTCCTTTGCCGTCCCCTCCCCAGCTTCTCCCCCCTCCTTCAGGACCTCCCTCCGCTTTCTGGGGAGACCGCCTCATGCGGGGGACAAAGCAGAGCGGACCCCGACCTGGTCTGCCCAGCAGTGCATCCTGGGTCAAGTCCAAGCTCCCTCTCCTCCCCAGAACCTGGGCTCCGGGTCCCGGGCCTTCGGGCCGCATCCAGCGTGCCCTCCCCTTGCTCTGCTCCGAAGCTTCTGACTCAGAGCTCAGCGTCCTGGCTCTGCCCTCTGACAAGGCTACCGCCCTCTCTGCCTCCTGCGGGGAGCTCACCGGCCCGGAAGCCGGAGTGCAGAATGGTGGAGAAGGACAGGCTTGTCTCCGGGGCAGCGGGGCCGTCTGAGAGCTGGTGGGCAGGGCGGGCACTGAGGCCCAGAGCCTTCCTGGCAGGAGATGCCACAGGCGCTGTGGCCGGGTGTCCCCGGAGAGCCGGGCTTTCTGCCCCGACCCCCTGCCCGGGGCCTTGAAGCCTGAGGAGCGCAGAGCAGTGCTGCTTCTCCGCCAGGGCTGAGTGAGGTCAAGGTGAAGGCAGGATGGGAGAGCTCCGGGGAGGGGGCTGGGCAGAGAGAGGAGCCTCGGGCTCAGGGACCTCGCACCCTTCCCTCTCACCGGTCCTCTGGGAAGACGGGTGTAATGAGTCACTCTCACGGGTGAGGTTGACCCTCGGAGAGGGGAAGGCACAGGGCAAGCCAAGAGCAGGAGGCAGCGGCGGGGGAAGTGTCCGCTCAGGGCGTCTGAGCAGGCCTCCAGGCCCCAGGGACAGGCTGGGGGCAGACAGAGGGCAGCGGGCAGCGGGCGAAGCTGCCTGTGGGGAGGGGGGCCCGGGTGGGGCAGGATGGCAGCCCGTCCTCTGCCTCAGGGAAGGGGGGCACGGGGGTGGGGATGGGGGTGGGGTGTGTCCTTTCCTTGGGCCAGGATGGCGGTCCTGAAGGTGCCGGCCAGACTTAAACCTGCATCAGGGGAATGAAAGGTAATTGGCTTTAATTACCGCTCATTAATCCAATTAACTAAGTTAATATATGCACGGAGCGGTATCAGTTTATCAGAACAAATCAGTTAATATGGGCAATTAAAGGGGTTGGTCATTTAAATAATGAATGCCGCTGATGAATGGGACTGATTCAGCTCAGTTGTCACTATTATTTATTAATTGGTTTCACCACTAATATTAGCGGGGATGTGCCTTTTAGATCCGTAAAACACGGAACGAGCTAATTAATTAATGGAGCTGAGTGTTCAGAAGGGAAAGCTTTGATTCCTGGTTTGCTCGTTACAACGGGAGGGAGAATGTTCTAGAAATCTGAAGTCTGCGTAGGGAGTTCCCCTGACCCTGGGGCAAAGAGGAGGCTCTGAGCAGAGGGTGCCTGGCGTCCCTGCCCTGGGGAGCCGAGGGCACAGCGAGAAGAGACAGCGCCTGAGTCAGGCCCACGGCCTCAGACATGCTCCGGGGGGAGGCGGGCGCCTGGAGAGGGACACGTCCTTAGATGGTGGCCAGGGGGGCCTCGCCGAGAAGGGCATTTTAGTAAAGGCCTGTGGGTGGGCGGGAGCTCGGTGGATGTCAGGGAGAAAGTATTCCAGCAGAGGGACAGCGAGTGCAAAGGCCTGCAGGGGGTGGGGGGGGGTTGTGACACCCAGCAAGAAGCCCAGCATGGCCCGAGCAGGCGGTCAGCAGGGGTGGGAGAGGCGGTGGGCGGTCAGCAGGGGTGGGAGAGGCGGTGGGCGGTCAGCAGGCGGTCAGCAGGGGTGGGAGAGGCAGGTGGGCGGTCAGCAGGGGTGGGAGAGGCGGTGGACGGTGGACATGCCATGAGAACCCTGGCTTTTCCTCTCAGTGAATCTGGGGCCCCGCCTGGGGCCGGAGCAGAGAAAAGCCACGATCTGAGTGTTATGTTAACGGGCGGCGGGGGCTGCTGGGTGAGAAGGAGCTGCGGGCACAGGCGGAGGCCGGGAGGAGGGGGTGGCCTTTGTCTGAACACGTGGCAGCCGTGGGTGGGAGCAGACATGGCCCTTCTGTCTGGGAAATCCTGGGGTGCTGTAGAGCGACTGCTGCCCAGGCCCTTAGCTTCCCGCGCCTCTGCCCTGAGCACCCCATTGCCCTGGCACCCCATCCCCGCTGATCCCTCCATTCAGCCTTCCCTCCCCAGGCCCTCCTCCTGCCCACAGCCCGAGGGGAAGCAGACAGGAAGCCGGAGGAAGTGTGGGGTGATCCCAGTGTCCTGGCCAACCTGTTCCCACCAGTCGGAGGATTTCCGGGCTTGAATGGCCGGAAACCCGGGACTGGGATGCCTCACCCGGGAAGAGCAGTGGATGGAAGCAGGGCAGGGGTCCCCGTCATTGGGCAGAGAGGACCCCAGAAGCCCGCTGTGGCCGGGCTGCAGCCTGAGGAGCTATAGGTAAAGGCAGGACTTCACCGGAGGGAAGGTGAGCACCAGAGACTATAGGATGCTGCAACAAGGGGGACTGTTGGACTGCTGCTCAGTGTGGACCACACCCCCCCACCCCCGCCCCCTGCTCAGGAATTCTGTCCTGGGAACACATACCTTAACCACAATTATTTTTTTAAGCTCAGATTTTTTTGTGTGTGTATTAAGTCTATTTTATTAAAATGACTACATTTAAATTTAAATATTGCACTTCTGTATGGGAGGAAGCAATTCCCCAAAGTTCAAACTTCTTCCTATTCTGCAGCTGGAAACAGAGGCTGAGGCCTGGGTGAGCTAGAGAAGGAGGGCCCCTCCTGATGGGATTCACAGCGATGACAGTGGCTAACATTGTAGTCATGCATTCCTATAAGCAGTACATATTTCTTGAGCTCCTACTAGGTTAAGGTGATCAGATGTCCCGCTTTTGGCGGCACAGTCTCGATTTTTAACAATTTGTCCCTGGTCCCGTGGCGTTTTAAAAAAGTCCAGATTTTGGAAAGAAAAATCGGGACTTTTTTTTAAAAAACGCCACAAGATACTGGACAAATTGTTAAAAATAGGGACTGTCCCATCAAAAGTGGGACATCTGGTCACCTTATACTAGGGATTGATGGGATTGCTGTGGGAGAAACACAAAGCAGGGCAGAAGGAACAGCAAGTGCAAAGGCCCCGTGGCACAAAGGAGCTTGAGGCCAGTGTGGCTGGGGTGGGAGGAGGGTCAGAATGAGAGAGGAGGCCTGTGGGGCGGGGCTGACAAGATGGGTGGTTGGGTACCCCCAGGCCACACAGGGCCGTAGAGATTGGGGAGCATATTGCCCAGTTTATGCCCATTTTTGGGGGCATGATCATGGCATTCTGCTCTCACAGGGGAGAGGCATTCTGGATTGGATGATACAGGAGGGGGCCAGCCATCTGCAGGCCGTGGAGAAGGGTGTAGGTTTTGTTCTGAGAGGTGGGAGGGTCCGGTGGTGTGTGTTTCTGAAATGCTTAGGTTTTCACCCTGGTGCTGGGGGGTGGTGGAGCGGAAGCTGACTGTGTGTGTGTGTGTGTGTGTGTGTGTGTGTGTGAGTGTGTGTGTATGTGTGTGTGTGTGTGTGTGTGTGTGTGTGTGTGTGTGTGAGAGTGTGTGTGTGTGTGTGAGTGTGTGTGTAGTGTGGTGTGTGTGTGTGAGGGGTGTGTGTGTGTGTTGTGAGTGTGTGGTGTGTGTGTGTAGAGGGTGTGGTGTGTGTGAGAGGGTGTGTGTGTGTGTGTGGTGTGTGTGTGTGGTGTGTGTGAGTGTGTGTGGTGTGTGTGTGTGGGAGGGTGTGTGTGGTGTGTGAGTGTGTGTGTGTGTGTGTGAGTGTGTGTGTGTGCCAGTGTGTGTGTGAGAGTGTGTGTGTAAGTGTGTGTTTGTGTGAGTGTGTTAATTTGTGAGTGTGTTAGTGTGTGTGAGAGTGTGTGTGTGTGTGTGTGAGATGTGGGTGCTGTGTGTGTGTGAGTGTGTGTGTGTGTGTGTGAGGTGTGTGTGAGTGTGTGTGTATGTGTGTGTGTGTGTGTGTGTGTGAGTGTGTGTGTGTGTGTGAGTGTGTGTGTGTGAGTGTGTGTGTATGTGTGTGTGTGAGAGTGTGTGTGTGTGTGTGTGTGTGTGTGTGAAGGCTCAGGTGGGGCAGAGGTGACACAGGGAGGACATGGCCAGGGTCGATTTTGGAAGGAGACCGCAGGATTTCCTGATGGCTGGGTGTGGAGTGTGGGTGAGAGAGGAGGCACAGATGGCCGGAGGTTCTTGGCCAAACAAATCAGCGAGAAGAATGAGACGGACATTAGCTGATACGGGAAGTGGGTGGGGGCGCGGTGCAGGAGGACCAGCGGCCCTGCTGGGGATGTGGCAAGGTCAAGATGAAGCAGATACCCAAGAGGAGATGCCAAGGCGGCGCGGGGTTCAGGAGGCCCGTGTTGCAGGGCCAGGTCCAGCTGTACCAGGGAGGGATGCCATTGCAGGCCAGGGCCTGGGGGCCTGACTCCCCGCGGCCTCCTGAGACAGGAGATGCTGGTTTAGCACCAGGGGAGACAGACACCCTGGCCTCTGGCCCCTCAGGTACCTTCAGGCCCCACCCCGAAGACAGAGGGGATCAGCCCCCCAGCAGCTGTCCCAGCAGTGGCACCACAGTGTCCCAGGCCAGTGGTCGGCACTCAGTCAACAGAGCCAAATATCAACAGGACGGTTGAAATTTCTTTTGAGAGCCACATTTTTTACACTTGCACTTCTTCTAACGCCACTTCTTCAAAAATAGACTCGCCCAGGCCGTGGTATTTTGTGGAAGAGCCACACTCAAGGGGCCAAAGAGTCGCATGTGGCTCCCGAGCCGCAATTTGCTGACCACGGTCCTAGGCAGCTCTGGGGGGGGGGGGGGGGGAAGGGAGGTTTCACTCCACACCGGGGACCAGGACAGGGCGGGAGGAGAAGAGGCTGAGGCCCAGCCTGGGGCCTCCACCTGCTCCAGTCAGGTTCAGGTGGAGGGAAAGCATGAGGGGAGGGGGGCGCGGCTGTGGCCTACAGTGAGGTGAGGACAGTGACCAGGAACAGGTCTGTGTTAAGCACCAAACATTCATCAGCTTCTTAAGTCCTCATGACACCCCGATGAGGCAGAGGCCCTTCTCACAGGACCCCAGGCGCAGGGAGGTGCAGGGACTCGCCCGGGGTCCGCAGCCAGAGAGGGAGGAGCAGACAGAGAGGGAGGAGCAGCCAGGCCCGCGGATTCCAGCAGGCGCTCTCAGCTGCTGTGCCCAGGCCTTCAGGGTGAGCCTCCAGAGCACCGAGGGCCGGGCGCTGGCACCAGGCAGGCAGCTGGGGAGCTGGGCAGCCAGGAAGGGCTGGGGACACTCACCTCTCTTCTTTCCCTCCAGGGCTGCGGGAGAGCCTGAGGCCGGCGGGGACTACGTGAAGGTAGGAGGGGCTGGGCAGGGGACTGGAGGGCTCAGAGCTTGTTCCCTGAAAAGCAAAATCATTTTCTGAGTCTTTTTAGGAGCCAGATCTTACTGTCCGTCCCCAGGAGGAAAGGGTCTAGGGGTTGGGGCAACATTTGGGGTCTGGTTACCCTCCAAGCATCTTTTTCTCATCATTCTGTCCTGGCCCCACATTCAGGACATCCCGATGCTTGTTCCCAGCAGACCTCACCCCTTGCCGACCTCACCCCTTGCCGGCCTCACCCAGGGGTGCGTCTATGCAAAGGCCATACTCCAGTCCCGCCCGGTTTCTGCGCATGTGCCGTGCTGGGAGGAGGGGCCGGAAAGGGTGACTGTTCGTCATCACAGACTTGTTTATCACAGGCGGCACGTGTGCTGGGCGCGGGCGTGTGGAAAATGCAGTTTTGGAATGATGACGACAGCAATAATCCGACATGACATTCTGAGTGCCTACTGTGCTCAGAGCCTGTGCCGGCCGTGGCCCTGGGAGGGAGACAGCTCTGAGCTCTTTGCATGAACGAGGTCTCACTTCCTCCCTCATCACCGGGCAGCGAAGGCCTTCCTGTGGCCACTTACAGAGACCAGAGAAGCGCAGTAACTTGGTCATAGCCCGGCAGCTACTATAGGGATGAGGGGGATAGAAACGGGGGGGGGCTAGGATCGCCGCCCAAGTTTACCTAATGCCAAGACAGGGACAAAGCCCTTGACCTTCCACCTCAGGAGCACTCGCCCTCGTCCAGGCTCCTGCGGAGACAGAGCCACAGCAGAGGGCAAGGAGCACAGGCCCCGTGTCCCAAGGGCTCCTGGGCCAGGCTGGGGCCAGAGCAGAGCCAGGCAATGGCTCAGGCTTGTGCTTTGTAATCCGGCAGCTCCGAATCTGAGTCCCAGATCTGCCCCTTATTTGCCACCTGCCGGGGTGTGTGTATGCGACTTCTCTGAGCCTCGGTGCTCACCTCTGAGAAATGGGGTAACAGTGGCACCTCCAACCCAGAGTTGCCATGGGCTCAGTGAGTCCAGAGGCGCTGAAACAGAGCAGGCTGGCCTGGCTCCTGACCCAGGGACATCCATCACCTGAGACGCTGCCTGTGCAGTTAGTTCTGTGTGAGGGACTAGTGCTGAGGCGGTATGGAACATGCTTGGATTGCCGCCCCCCACCCTCACCTGAGGCTCATGGAAGAAGCCATGGGAGCTCCAGAAGCAGGGGGTGACTTTCAGCTCAGGAGCTGGGAGGGGGAGATCACGGAAGGCTTTCTGGAGGAGACATCGAATCCAAGCCCTTGCAGTTGACCAGGAACATTCATTAACACCCTGTCCCTGAAAGAAAAGCAGGAAAAGAGGGAAAGGTCAGGGGAGATGGCGGCCAAGGGGTCCAGGCAGAGGCAAGCGTGCGGACAAGGTCAGAGGGAAGCCGGGGGCCGGGAAGGGCAGCTGGGCTGCAGCAAGTGGAGCAGGGGCGGCTCCTGGGACCAGCACCCCGGCTCCTCATCCCGAGGACACCGCCGCCCCCCCCCCCGGGGGACAGGAGCCCCGGGGGCACGTTTCAGCCCCCACAAACCGGCTGTCTGGAAAGACAGTGAGACCCCATCGCTGACGTGGCGAGATCCCTGTGAGGATTACAGGCTTTGTGTTTTTCTTACAGTTTCTGGTGCTAAAAAATTAACGTATTACAAAAGAAATTAGAGCTGAGCACTGAGGCGGGTTAAACTGTCTCCTTAAGGGTGAAGTCAGAGGGATGTGAGCTTTAAGCCTCAGACGAGGGTGGAATCCATAGTGTTCAAAGCCGGTTTCTGTCCCGAGGGTCTCAGCTTGCAGGACCCCGGGTCCCCAGGCCAGGAAGTGAGTAGTCCCTCTAAGACCAGAGTTCTAGCTTGTGGGAGCACGGCAGATGTGTTCACGGAAAACACCCAAACACAGCGGAGGCCCGGAGAGCTGGGCCTGGGGTCACCGGCCTGAGGTCACACCGCCGGTAAAAGGATGTGAACCCCAGGAATGACTCCCTTTGCACCGAAGGCCCTATAATTCCGGGACAAAAAGTCCGGATCCTGACGCTAAGATTGAAAATAATAGGACACATCTATGGAGTACTTCCTTTAGGCCTGGCCAGTGCTCACGAGAGTTCTGTGGGGTCAGCACAGACATGTTTTGCAGATGAATACATCTGGGCTCCAGGAGAAGGGACTGGTGGGCTGGAGGCGGGGACACAGCTAGCTGAACCCAGGGGGGTGCCCTAACCATTGGGCCTCACTGGCTCTCTGCACCCCAGCGGCTGCTGTCAGCTGACCGTCCTGTGATTCTCAGCGGGAGTCCTTGACTCCAAATCAGAGACGAAGTCCTGGGCTCCGGGAGATTTTCTGAGTCCACAAAGGATTCCGTTAACCGCATAGAGGAATTTTTTCCAGCTTTGGAGAGGATTTAACGCAAAGCCTCTGCCTGCTCTGGGTCGGTGAGGAGTGCAGCGAGTGGGAGAGGCAGGAGCCCCCGCCGGCCCAGGGGTCCCCACCCCATCGCACCCCATCCCACTCTCCCTGGTGATGTCAGGTCCTCGGCTGCGCATCCCCTGCTCCCGGCAGCCTGGGCGCGCGGGGCTGGAGCGCGCGGGGGCGAGGGGGGTGCGAGGGGCGGGCGGAGGGAGGAACAATGGCCCCCTCCCCTCCCGGGCCGGCCGGAGGGTGGGGTCTCCCCGCCCCGCCTCCCTGCTCCTCCCCCGACAAGCGATGAGGTAATCGCGCCGGGAGAAGCGGCTCCGCGGTGCCCGGCCGGCCAGTCCCGCGCCCCGGCCCCTGCCCCGCGGCCGCCGCCCCCGCCCGGCCGGCCGCACCATGACGGAGCGCTGCAGCCTGTGGAGCGCGCTGTCGGCCGCCGCCTGCTGCTTCTACCGCGGCTCCTTCGTGCAGGTGCAGGTGAGGGGCCGGGCTGGGACCCTCTCCGGCCGGGGCCGGGGCTGCGGGCTGTGGGAGGGCGGCCACCCAGGGCACCTCCGGGCGCTCCTGGGTGAGGGTCCCGCTGCCGCTCCCGGGACTCAGGACTGGGGCGCCGCGGTCCCGGTCCTGCCTCCGCCGGAGGGAGCCGGCTGGGCGCTGGGGTCAGGAGTTGGGGTCTCGTTGTCCTGGGGTCCCGCAGCGCGCACCCCGGCCCCTGAGGCTGACGGGGCAGCCCGGCTCCCCATTGTACGGGCGCCGCTGGGCCGGGGTCCGGAGGCGCCGGAGGAGAGGGGCGGGAGGGGAGAGGATGCCGCGGGGCCGGGGCCGGGGCCGGGGCGCCCGCCGCTCTCCCGCGCTCGCTCGGGCTGGGCCGGGGCGCGCTCCGGGCGCGGGGCTCTCCGCTCGGCCGGCCGGGCAGTGCGGGACCCGCCGCGGCGGGGGAAGGGTTAAACGGAAGGGGGTGGAGGGGAGGACCCGGACCCCGCCTCTCTGCGGAGCATCCTCTGGGATGGCTCTGCTGGGGTGAGGAGACCGGAGGAACCAGGAAGGCCGTGGGGGCGCCGGCTGGTGGGGAGAGGCTCTGGCCCGGGGTCTGGGTGCCTTTGCCTCCCAGGTCCCCGGGGAACCGGGCGCAGCACCTCTGCGCTGCCCGGGCTCACACACGCTCCGAGCAGCATCCCGGCGCCGGCCAATCGGGCGCGCGCAGGCCGGGAGGCGGTGAGATCATCTCCAGCCAATGGCAGCGCGCTGAGCGCCGGGGATGCTGCATTCGCGCCCAGCCCTCCCCCGCCCGCCCGGGAGCCTGCGACCCCCGGGGTCGAGGTTGAGGTGGAGTGCACAGGACCTGAGGGTTCCCCACCTTCGGGAGTGTGGGAGGTCCCCCCAGGTTCTCCCAGACTGGGTGATGGCTGGGAAAGGGGAGCCAGGCTTCCACCCCCATTGACTGAGGAGGCTACTCGGGCCCAGAGAGGAAAAGGAATTGGCTCAAGGTCACACTGAGGCAGGCAGGGTCTTGGCCAGGGTCTGTAGCTCACAGCCCCCTCCCCTTCTCTGCCCCATGCTCCTCCTGCTCCAGGTGTGGTGCTGGGGCAAGTTCTCAGGGGCTTGCTCTTTGTCAAGGAGAAGGACCCCAGGAGGCCTGTGTCCTCTTCCCTCCTCAGGGTGTGGTATAAGGAGCGGTGCTCCTGGGGAGACGGTCACCGGGGCCAAAGCCAGGCCCTTCCATGCCCCCCTCACCCGACCTGCATCTGGCCCGTTCTGGGCTAGATCTATCCGCCCTGCAGCAGTCACTGTGGGCACCTGGAGTGGGGAGAAGAAGAGGAAGCCATGTCACATGTCCTCACAGTGAGGGGGACAGCCACAGTGCTCTGGGGCAGCAGTCACCAACAGGCGGTCAGTGAGGTCAGTGAGGTCCGAAAGGTTGGCGACTGCTGCTCTGGAGTATTGTCTCCTCTCATCTTTGCAACTTGGTGAGGCATCCCCACCAAAGGAGGCCCGGAGAACCCCATGGCACAGCGAGGACTGAGCTGGCTCTGTGTGTGTTTGTGGGGTGCCCCTGACAGCACGGGCTCCCTCCCATTGCCCTGAGGTCTCCTAGCCCAGGCACCGTAGCCACGAAACCAGAAATGTCCCCCTTCGGGCAGGTGGGAGCGGGGAGTCCTGGGCACGATCTCCAGTGAGTGACCTTGGGCTTCCCTGCTGGGCTGCGGTTCCCCCATCTGGCAAGAACAGCTTGAGATGGCAAGGGAGAAAGGGCCTTGGGAACCCTCAAGGACCACACAGATGTGTGTGGGGGAGCCCTCGGTTCTCCTATGTACAGCTGCCTCTTTTTCCATTCTACTGTAACCCACCATCCAGAATGTTCTTTGTCCACCCAAGCCCTGTTTTGGTCCATGCCTTTGCCAAGGTACCTGCTGCCTGACCTCTCAGAACTCCTCCCTCCCCACTTCCACATCCGGTGGGCTGTCCTGGGTGCATCACGAGTGTTTCGTTATTGCCATCTCGGCCACGAAGGCTTCCTAGACCGCTCCACCTCACTAGACTTCACCTTCCCTCTGAAAGCCTGCGCGCTCTGTGCCGCTGTCCAGCGTCGTGGTGCTGACCGCAGCCTACGCACGTGCTCCGCTGGCTTTTCCTCTCCTCGTAGGCGGCTTGAGGATGTGGCCTGGGCTGTTGATGCCTCGCTTACACACCCATGGCAATTGGTACAGGGCATGCAACACAGTAGGCACGGTTCAGTGGAATTAGCTGAGATTTCTTTACTTCTGCCGGGATGGGGACTCCTGCGAGGGCCTCGCTGGCCCCTGTGCCTGAGTGTTCCCGGGGTCCCAGGCTGAAAGGAGGTCACCCGGTGTGGGACTGGGAGGGGAAGGAGAAGCAGGGCTTCGGATTGGTTGCCCATTCTTGCTGTCTCTCCGCCCAGTTTTCCAAGGAGAAGTACATCCTGGACTCGTCGCCTGAGAAGCTGCACAAGGAGCTGGAGGAAGAGCTCAAACTCAGCAGCACAGACCTCCGCAGCCACGCCTGGTACCATGGCCGCATCCCCCGGGAGGTGAGTGGGCTCTGAGCCGGGGCCCGGCTTCTAGACCCTTACACACACACACACACACACACACACACACACACACACCCGCTGCCTGGCCAGCTCCAGGCCAGAGAGGCTCCGGCTTAGTGCGTGGGGGGGTCCATCCCAGGGGACTGACTGCTGGGATGAGGTCTAACTATGCCATTTCCTGGCTGTGCAACCCTGAACAAGTCACTTGACCTCTCTGAGCCCGAGTTTCTTCATCTATAAAATGGAGGAATGTTGTGAGAATTGGATGAAATGATCCAGGTGAAGTGCTTAACATGATGTCTGACATACAGCAAGCTCGATGAACATTGTCCTTTGTTGTTGTTATGACTTGTTTTTTAATGTTTTGTTATGTGGTCTGTACATCAACCTCCTGCGCATTTGGTTAGCGAGTATCAGTCTTGGCAAAGCTGAGCTTCTGGGCCAGCAGTCGCCAAGTGGTAGTCTGCAGACCACTGGTGGTCCGTGAGGTCCGAAAGGTTGGCGACCGCTGTTCTAGGCTGAGGCTCAGACTGGAGCTGATAGTCCTGTTTCCTCTTTCCTTCGAACTGTAAATCTTTGTCAAGAATCAACTCTGCCAGGCCCTGTGCTGGGCTCCAAAGAGGCAGAGGACACAGCAGGGCTGGTAGTCCGGGGTAGGCACCGACAGGAGGCAGTCAGAGCCCAGTGGGAGAAGTGCAAGAATGAAGAGCCCAGCGGGGAATGTGGGTGAGCCCTGAGGAGGGCACTGAGGGGCAGGGCCATTGTGAGATGAATAGGAGTTCGCCAGGTGGGCAGGGTGGGCAGGAGGGTCCAGGCAAAGAAAGTGGGAGGGTGCCCAGAGATATGCCAGGGCACGGGCTGTTTGGAGGATCGAGGATTGGGAGTTCACTCTGCCCAGCGTGAGCCCTAGGAGGAGGCAGTCTGAGACAGGAGTTCCCCAGACCCCCTGTTCCTGTGACTTCATCCCAGGGTTTTATGGCCTGCCCCTGTGCCCTGTCCCCAGTGGCCCCCTCTGCATCCACGTCATTGTGGATGAGATTCAGATATCTCTGTCCACTTGCTCCCAAGATTCAGATATCTCTGTCCACTTGCTCCCAAGACCCCAGGTCTGACCCTCTCCCCCCTGCCCTGCCTGCCTGCCCCTGCCCACCTGCCCCTGCCCACCTGACCCTGATCGTCTGAAACTGCCCACCTGCCCCTGACCACCTGCCCCTGACCACCTGCCCCTGCCCGCCTGCCCCTGACCGCCTGACCCTCCACCCTGCAGGTGTCGGAGACCCTGGTGCAGCGCAACGGCGACTTTCTCATCCGGGACTCGCTCACCAGCCTGGGCGACTACGTGCTCACGTGCCGCTGGCGCAACCAGGCCTTGCACTTCAAGATCAACAAGGTGGTGGTGAAGGCGGGCGAGAGCTACACCCACATCCAGTACCTGTTCGAGCAGGAGAGCTTCGACCACGTGCCCGCCCTGGTGCGCTACCACGTGGGCAGCCGCAAGGCCGTGTCGGAGCAGAGCGGCGCCATCATCTACTGCCCCGTGAACCGCACCTTCCCGCTGCGCTACCTGGAGGCCTGCTACGGCCTGGGCCAGGGCACGGGCAAGGCGGCCGGCCCCGCCAGCCCCGCCGGCCCCAAGGGCAGCCACATGAAGCGGCGCAGCGTCACCATGACCGACGGGCTCACCGCCGACAAGGTCACCCGCGGCGACAGCTGCCCCACCAGGTAGGCCAGGACCCTCATTCTGCCTCGGTCTCCCCATGAGCACGCTGGGGAGAGAAGGGAGGCCGGGAACCCTGACCTGGGGAGTGACTGCCCTGAGCCTCAGTGTGCAGGAGCCCGGAGGAAAATCGGTCTGGTCCCTGCCTCTGGATCTACCCCTACACCTCCCTCCCCTCCCACCTACCTCTCCTGCCCCACTCCACCTCCCCTCTTATTCCCCTCCCTTCCCACCTACCCCTCCCGCCCCTCCAGCTAGGTCAAGGCAGGCATCAGAGTGGAGGGCTTCGCTGTGTGCAAACCACCCCACAGGGAATGGAATCCTGAGGAGACGCGGTTGCGTCTGGGGCTGGTGGGACCAGGCCTGGTTCCAGGAGAAGCCACAGCAGCGAGCCATTCCCGGGGCCTCCTGTGCACCTCCCTGCCCCGTATCTTCAACTCCCGGCCGCCCTGCGTGTGGCTGCTGTCCGTACCCCATTGGGTGGGTGAGGAAACAGGCCCGGAGAAGGGAAGCAGCTCGCCGGCGAGCGCTAAGACTGAGATCCAAACCCAGGCCTGCGGACCCAGCCAGTGCCCCTCATTCCTGCGGCTTCCCTGGCTGTTTGCAGAGACCAGCTGTTCTGAGCCACGAGCACTTGGCTGGGTCTCGTCTCCCTGGGCCGGGCCGGGCTGGGCCGGGTGCTGCCGGCCAGGGAATGGACGGTTGGATGCCCTGCAGCGGCAGCCACTTGGCTGTGGTTTGGATGCAGGGACTGTAATGGTGCCAAGAGCCACAGGCCGTGTGTGCCCAGGCATCCGGCGCCGTGTGGGAGGAGGGCCCAGTGGGCGGCCTGACTCCCTTGGGCTTCTCATGCTTCCCTCTAGCCCCATCCCCCGAGTTGGGGGCACGGTCCCCAGGAAAGAGAGCGTGTGTGCAGGCTGTGGCCTGCGGCAGCCTTCCTCCTCGTGTGGTTTTTGAACCTGCTCCCTCGGAGGTTGGACTCGGTAATCTCCACGCCTTCTCTGCCTCTGACGTTCAGTAGTTCTGGGATGGGAGCGGAAGTGGGTCCTGAGTTTGGCTGAGGTCCCGAACTGGGCTCTCTGTTCACGAAGGTGTCTGCCCCACAGCACGTCCCTGCCCCACCCCCGGGAGTCCATCCGCAGCTGTGCGCTCAGCATGGACCAGATCCCAGACCTGCACTCGCCCACGTCCCCCATCTCTGAGAACCCCAGCTCCCCCGCCTACAGCACCGGTAAGGCCAGCAGCGCGCACAGGGGCAAGCGGGGGGATCTGGTGGCCATGAGTTTGTACGTGTACATGCTTTTGATGAGTTCTGTTACTGTGTGGGATTATGTGTGCCTCTGCCTCTCTTCTGAGAGCAAGGCCCTGAAAAATGTACACTAAGAACCTGCCAGCAGAGCTATTTTTTAAAAAAATTTGCTGACTTCAGACAGGGAGAGAGAGATAGAAACATCAATGAGGAGAGAGAATCATCAATCGGCTGCCTCCTGCACACCCCCCAACTGAAGATCCAGCCCACAAACCAGGCATGTGCCCTCGGCCGGAATCGAACCTGGGACGCTTCAGTCCACAGGCTGATGTTCTATCTTCTGAGCCAAACCAACTGGAGCTCTGGCAGAGCTGTTGATGGTGACATACAAACGGACCCACGGCTTGGTCATTGCAAGTTTGAGTCCCCAAACACGGACCAGAAACTTTGTCATAACTATCCCCCTTCAAATCAACATGCCTGAGTGTGCAGGTTAAAACCCCTTGTCAGAAATTATCAATTGGACAATTTCTAAGCAACATGGTGGACTCAAGGACCCAGGAGCCAGGTTTTACCCAGCTCTCTCACTCGCCAGCTGGGTAACCTTGCACAGGTCAGCTCACCTCTCTGAGCCTCGGTTTTCTCATCTGCAGAACGAGGACCGTAAAAGTACTTACTCCTCAGGGTCCTGAGAAGGTTAAATGGACCCATGTGCCAAGAAGGGCTCAATTAGCATCACCCTCCCCCACCTCTCTCTTTCTCTTTTTATATATATTTTATTGAGTTTTTACAGAGAGGAAGAGAGAGGGATAGAAAGCTAGGAACATCAATCAGCTGCCTCCTGCACACCCCCTACTGAGGATGTGCCCGCAACCAAGGTACATGCCCTTGACCGGAATCAGACCTGGGACCCATCAGTCAGCAGGCCGACGCTCGATCCACTGAGCCAAACTGGTTTCGGCATCATCACCTCTCATTTTGATGGTGGTTTTACTGTTGTTGACCAGAGTATCTCCAACATATCGCCATACGAACTCACTAAGTCATTATTCCTAATCCATGGAGAAATAATTCCGTGTGGCACCCCGGACCCCAGCAAGTGCATAGCTTCCCCGGGTCCCTGGAAGCTCCTGCTTCCCCCAGGCTGCAGTAGCTCGGGGCGGCGTGTGCAGGCTCCGGGGCAGGGATTGCCAGGCCTCGCTGAGGGGTCTGCCGGCCTGGAAAACGGGGTGTCAGCTCTAGGGGAGGTGGAGGCTGGCCTCGGGAAGGAGGTGGGGGAAGCCCCTGGGTGGAGCCGTGGTAACCCGTCCTCTCCCTCTCTCCCCGCAGTGACCCGTGCTCACGCTGCGCCCGCAGCCCCCGCACCCACAGTGCTGCCCGCCTCCCCCGTCACCCGCCGCTCCAGCGAGCCCCAGCTGTGCCCCCGAAGTGCCCCGAAGCCCCCCGGAGAGCTGGACAAGGGCCCTCACGCCAGTCCCTCCCACACCCTCGGCAAAGCCTCCCCATCCCCGTCGCTCAGCAGCTACAGCGACCCGGACTCCGGCCATTACTGCCAGCTGCAGCCTCCGGTCCGGCAGGCCAAGAGCCAGGGAGAGCGGCTGAAGGAACTGTCAGAGAATGGGGCCCCCGACGGGGCCTTCACAGTCCCCATCATAGAAGCCACCTCTTCCTTCAACCCGGCCACCTTCCAGTCACAGCTCATCCCCAAGGATAACCGGCCGCTGGAGGTGGGCCTCCTGCGCAAGGTCAAGGAGCTGCTGGCCGAGGTGGACGCCCGGACGCTGGCTCAGCACGTCACCAAGGTGGACTGCCTGGTAGGTGCCCGGTGCACCCTGGGACGGGACAGCACCCCAGCCCCGGGCTTTAGGGCTGGGACCAGGGTGGTGAGGAGCTGGCCCCTAAACTCCCCAAATATAGCCAGTGGGCCTGGGTTCTGGCTTCATGGCTGCCCTTTACTTGCTGTGTGACTCTGGGCCGATCACTTTGCCTCTCTGGGCCTCCATTTCCCCTTTTATAAAAAGGTGACCTGGCCTGTGTGGCTCAGTTGGCTGGGTGTCATTCCGTGCACTGAGGGGTTGTAGGTTTGAAGGTTTGATTCCTGGTCAGGGCACTGCCCACGTTTCGCGTTTGGTCCCCGATGGGGGGCGTGAAGGAGGCAGCTGATCAATGGCTCACTCTCACATGGATGCTTCTCTCTCCCTCCTCTCCCTTCCTCTCTCTCTTAAAAACAAACAATAGAAATGTTTAAAAAAAAATTTATAGAGACTTTTAAAAAGCAAAAAGCAAGATATTGCTTCCTCCAGATGTCAGCTTGGCATTGGAACGGGGCGGTCCTGAAACCCAGTGGTGTCTGACCTCCTGGGGCGCTGAGTCTGGCTGAAGTCCGGGCTGGTCCAGGGAATGTAAATGACCCAATTCCCGCCCCCACAACCCTGTGGACAAAATAACCAAAACTCAGCACCTGGGCCCACACAGGGTCAGAGAAAGCCCAGTGTTTGCTCTGGATGAGCCTTTGCTCCTCTCAGAACCCCAACTCCCTCTGCACCTCGTTTTCGCCCTCTGAGGTTTGGGGTGCACCGGTTACTTGGTGGCACTGGTCCCCAAGCTCAGGAAGAGGAAGAGGGGGGCAGGGATGTTCTGAGAAGAGCAGTAAGGTGTGAGGGGAGAAGCCCCGGGTCCTAGGCCCTGGGTGCCATCCGACTGGCCCTCTCTCTCCTGGGACTCAGGTTGGCCTTTGGAATAAGGCAGTCCTGCTCCTTATCCTTGGCCGAGTATTTACCAGCCATCCCCAGCAGCGGGTTAGCCGTGGAGCTGGGATCCAAATCCGGCCTCCCAGCCAGGCCGCCCGCCCAGATAAAGCTTTCTGACTCCCAGATGGCTGGGGCCAGCCCAGGCAGGAAATTAATCAGCCCTCTGGGCGTCCTTGCAGGTTGCTAGGATACTGGGCGTTACCAAGGAGATGCAGACCCTAATGGGAGTCCGCTGGGGCATGGAGCTGCTCACCCTCCCCCATGGCCGGCAGCTACGACTGGACCTGCTGGAAAGGTAAGGGAAACACGCCCCCACCCCGCCTTCTGCTTGGCCAGCTGGCCAATCACAGGCTCAGCCTGGCTCCCAGGGCCTCTGGCCACGCCCCCTATCCCACTGACCAAGTGCAGCTTGTCATTCTTCTGCTCCAGGCAATCCCGGTTTCCCCAAGGCCCAGTCCTGTAGGGATTCACCTCTGCATCCTCTTGACCAATCCTAGTCCACGAATCTCTGCTCCGCCCACCAGCTCTCTCGCCCCCTAACCCGTGGACTCGACCCCCTCCCAGTTTGGGCTCTGCTCTCCACCCACTGGGGGCCTCACCCCTGGCAGTGGCAGGGACACTCCCCGGCCCCCTGGGCCCCGCCCCCTGACCTGGCCTCTGCCCCAGGTTCCACACCATGTCCATCATGCTGGCGGTGGACATCCTGGGCTGCACGGGCTCAGCGGAGGAGCGGGCCGCGCTTCTGCACAAGACCATCCAGCTGGCCGCGGAGCTCCGGGGCACCATGGGCAACATGTTCAGCTTCGCCGCGGTCATGGGCGCCCTGGATATGGCCCAGGTGCGAGGGGCCCTGCAGAGCGGGTTCAGGCTGCGTTCCTTCGGGGTGGCGTGTAGTGGTCCCGGGAGAACTCGGCAGCACTGGGGAAGGGGCACCCGGAAGAGCTGACCTGCTCCGACACCAAGTCTTTCCCTTCTCTGGGCCTCAGTCTCCCATCGGTAGGATTCAGGAGGTGCATACAGGAGTCTAAGGAATAAATGTGGAATGGCTGTCACTCAGTGAGCACTTCCTGTGTGCGGGGTGCTGGGGCCACACTAAATACTTGACAGGACAATCTCATGGGGTAAATGTCTTTGTTGTCCCCATCTTACTGATGGAGAAACTGAGGCAGAGCAGTGCTTGCCTGAGGTCACATAGTCAGAGGCTGAAAAAAACTGGGATTAGAACCAGGTCTGAATTTCATAGCCCAAACCTCACCCACACTACACTTCCTCTCGCATGCCTGGTAAATAGTAACAATGGGGTCCTACAGGCAGTGGTTCCACTCCCAGCTCTACCACTTAGTTTTGGAATGGCCTTGGGCAAGTCATTCCCTTCTCTGAGCCTTAGTTTCCCCATCTGTAAAATGGGTTGGGGGGGGGCTTCATGAGGACTTAGCACCGCCCCTGACCCATGAATGGTGATCCTCAACCGCACATCTGGGCACCCACTCAGCCGGCCGCTCTCCTGGCCGGTCGCTCACTGTCTGGTCTCCCCAGATCGCCCGGCTGGAGCAGACATGGATGACCCTGCGACAGCGACACACGGAGGGTGCCATCCTCTACGAGAAGAAGCTCAAGCCGTTTCTCAAGAGCCTCAATGAGGGCAAAGGTACCTCCCCTGCTGCTGTGAGACCCTGCACGGGTTTCAGCCCTCTCTGGGCCAGGCGAGACGTTCCCGGTGAGGATGGTGAGAGCTTGGCTGAGCTCGGGCGAGCTGTGCTGGCAGCTGTGTCAGCCGGCCAGGTGTGGGCCTTGCGGCCAGGCCGAGGGTGCCATAGATGTAGTTGAAAGAATCGGAAAGGAAAGGTCTGTCCAGGAGTCAGGAGCCCTGGGGGTTTGCTGGGACCTCGGGCAGGCCCCACCCTTTCCCCTCCTGTGCCTCAGTTTGTGGGGCTGCGGTGGGCAGGGGGCCTCCAGAGTCTAAGAGCCGCTGTCTCCCTCCTGGCAGAAGGCCCGCCGCTGAGCAACACGACGTTTCCTCACGTGCTGCCGCTCATCACTCTGCTCGAGTGCGACGCGACCCCGGCCGAGGGCCCCGAGCCCTGGGGCAGCACGGAGCACGGCGTGGAGGTGGTGCTGGCGCACCTGGAGGCGGCCCGCACGGTGGCGCACCACGGAGGCCTGTACCACACCAACGCCGAGGTCAAGCTGCAGGGTGAGTCCTTCGGGCCTGGGCCTCCCTCCTCTCGCCTTGCTCTCCCCTTCCCTCCCAATGTTCGTTCTCCTTTCTCCACCCCTCTTTCCTTCCCTGTCTCTCTGACTCATTTTCTAATCCCTTTTCTTGCTCACTCATCATTTCAACAAGCAATTGTTAGTGGCAGGCACCAGGTAGACACAGATGATTCAAAGAGCATCAGAGCTGTGGGTCTTAGCTTCTCTGAGCCTCAGTTTTCTCATCTGCGAAGTGGGTGTTCTAGCAGGCCTACTTTACAAGGCAGTTTGCACAGAGCTATGCCCGGGGGCCTGGGGCTGAGACAGACCTGCCTGCCTTCCAGGAGCGCTTAGCCCAGTCGAAAGGGAGAACTCTCACAAAAGGCGCAGAGAAAGTGGCTTCAAATAATCCATCTTTTACTGCCTTAGGCATTATTTAGTCATACAAGTTTACTAGAAACAAATTGCAAATCACAGCTGAGCAAAAACAGGTGAAAAAAGTCACCACCATTACCCAGAGATGAATGCTGAGAGCATTCCCGTGCAAGTCTTTCCTTCTTCTTCAGGAAGAAAAAAACAACCACACGTTTTTTGCATTGACTTACAAAATGTAGCCAGAACGGATTTGGCTCAGTGGATAGAGCGTCGGCCTGCAGACTGAAAGGTCCCAGGTTCAATTCCAGTCAAGGGCATGAACCTTGGTTGCGGGCACATCCCCAGTAGGGGGTGTGCAAGAGGCAGCTGATAAATGATTCTCTCTGATCGATGATTCTCTCTCATCGATGCTTCTAACTCTCTATCCCTCTCTCATCCTCTCTGTAAAAAATCAATAAAAATATATATTAAAAAAAAAAAAAAAAAAAAAAGAAAGGCCGAAGCCGGTTTGGCTCAGTGGTAGAGCATCGGTCTGCGGACTGAAAGGTCCCAGGTTCGATTCCGGTCAAGGGCAAGTACCTTGGTTGCGGGCACATCCCCGGTAGGGGGTGTGCAAGAGGCAGCTGGTCGATGTTTCTCTCTCATCGACGTTTCTAGCTCTCTATCTCTCTCCCTTTCTCGCTGTTAAAAATCAATAAAATATATTAAAAAAAAAAGAACAAAATGTATATATGTTTTTCAGGAAAAATTTGGAACTTACAGAAAAACACAAAAAGAAAAGACAAAGCACTCAAGCCCCCAATTAACATAATATTTTATCTCCCAGTCATTTAAAAATTACATGTTGTAAACAGCAGGGCAAAGACTAGGTACTAAACTGTGAGGCCAAGTCCCTCAATAAACCTTGCTGAGCCCTAACCCGTTTGGCTCAGTGGATAGAGCGTCGACCTTCGGACTCAAGGGTCCCGGGTTCGATTCCGGTAAAGGGCATGTACCTTAGTTGTGGGCACATCCACAGTTCGGAGTTGGCAGGAGGCAGCTGATCGATGTTTCTCTCGCATCGATGTTTCTAACTCTCTATCCCTCTCCCTTCCTCTCTGTAAAAAAATCAATAAAATATATTTTTTAAAAATTAAAATAAATAAACCTGCTGAATCCCTGGCAGAGCTGGGGGAGGTGTCCCTTGGGGGGGGCCTGAGGGATGTGGTGGCTCCTAGCTGGGTGGTGGCCCCTAACGCCTGTGCCCCGCCCGCAGGGCTCCAGGCCCGGCCCGAGCTCCTGGAGGTGTTCAGCACGGAGTTCCAGATGCGCCTCCTCTGGGGCAGCCAGGGCGCCAGCAGCAGCCAGGCCCGGCGCTACGAGAAGTTTGACAAGGTCCTCACCGCCCTGTCCCACAAACTGGAGCCTGCCGTCCGCTCCAGCGAGCTGTGACCCCCGTGGGCCCTTCCCCTCGGCAGCTGCGGGCAGCATGCGGGACAGAGGGGCACGGACCTTCCTCCAGAGCACCCCAGGGACACTGTGACCAGCCCGAGAATGTACCGGACTCCGCCGCGATCTCCCTTCCGCCCCCAGGGTTCTGCGTGGATTCTGGGCTGTCCCGCGCCTGCCACGTGCTCGCCACAGCTCCCTTCAGGAAGAACCAGGACCCGTTCCTCCCTCCAGCTTCCGCCTCTCCCCTCCTGCCGAGGGGCCCCGTGTTTGAGCCATGGGGGGCTCCTCACGCCTCCTCCCTCTCCTCCAGGCATCTGCTCCCCGCCGACACCAAGGCCTCCATCTGCTGTAAATACGTCCCCGTTCTGTAAATAGATGTACAGAAGCCACGCTCTTTCTTTCATATAATAAACTTTTATGTCTCTTTTTTCTGTCTCTCAGGAGGCCCTGAGGTGGAAGGGAGCAGCTTTTCTCAGGCGAAAGGGGGAAAAGCCATTTCACAAATATTGTATTTAGCACCTGGGACATCCCAGATTGTACCAGGAGCCAGAGTTACTGCTAACGCTGACCCCCAGTCCCTGCCCGGGAGGAGGTCACAGCCAGTGGGGGAGATAAACAGCCAATTTCAACCAGGGGCAGGAATACTGACCTGGCCCCCTCCTCCACTCCCTGCCCCCGGGAGCCACAGCAAAGGTTCCCACCAAGGCACAGGAAGGATCCCGGATGTTTGGGAGGGGAGGGCTCTCTGGGAAACTGAGACTGTGACCTGAGGGCGGCTGGCACTTGGGTGTCCTGACCGGAGTTCTCTCTCTTCAACGATGGGAACTACTAAGTTTCAGGCTTTGAAACGTGGCTCAGAAGCGCTGTGCGTGTGCAGAGTGGGGTGGATAATCTCTGAAGAGGGACATGGACACGGTCGTCTTGATTCCACAGGTGGAGGGGCAGAGGCCTGGCAGGATGGAAGTCTGGGGAGCCCAACCACTGGGTGTGAAGCATCTGGGTCCTTTCCGTTCTGAATCCTGACTGAGAGGCTGGGTAACACAGGGCATGAGATCTTTGGCGGCAGCCAGATGCAGGTTCAGTTCTATTGTTCACTAGCTGAGTAACCATGGATATCAGGCTTAACCTCTCGGGTTCCCATTTCTACCTCAAAAAAAAAAAAAGGGGACAATAACAGAATTAATCTCTTAGGATTGCTATGGAAGCATTTAGTGTATAGTAGTTGCTAGGTAAGGAACCACTATGTTTTATACATGATGGATTATCAATGATCATTTATTGATTAAGCCAAAACACTTTATGGGCCAGTACCTCATTGAAATATCACCATTTTTCCGTATGATGGGAATGTTATCATAGAGGGTATAAGGTAACTAATACTGACACACAGAAGGTGCTCACCAAAAGCTATCCGTATTCTTTCTTTTTTTTTTTTTTTAATATATTTTATTGATTTTGTACAGAGAGGAAGGGAGAGAGATAGAGAGTTAGAAACATCGATGAGAGAGAGTCATCGATCAGCTGCCTCTTGCACACCCCCTACTGGGGATATGCCCGCAACCAAGGTACATGCCCTTGACCGGAATCGAACCTGGGACCCTTCAGTCCCCAAGCCGACGCTCTATCCATTGAGCCAAACCGGTCTCAGCTATCCGTATTCTTAAACACGGAAGTCACATTCGCAGAAGGTGCCGAAGCTGCAGCACAGTGAAGCTGCGAATGTAGCTTGTAGTGGTTCGGTGGTTGAGCATCGACCTATGAACCAAGAGATCACAGTTTGATTCCCAGGTTGTGGGCTCCATCCCCAATATGGGGCTTGCTGGAGGCAGCTGATCAATAATTCTCATCATTGATGTTTTTATCTCTCCTCTCCTTCTGCAATCAATAAAAACATATTTTTAAAGCATAAAAAAGGCGCTTTACAAGGTGTAAGGTGCTGCAGACACAAGTTTTTCTCTACAGTTGCTACATTACCCTTGTGGTCATAATTCCTTATTATTTTGTTGGAACTTCTATGGTCCCCTAGTTACCATGGTTATGGAAACGCGGCCCTCCGTCCCGAGTTGAACAGTTCGCGTGCTCCCTCTGGAGGTCGCCTTCGGGTCCTGCAGCGGGAAGACTGGGCGGGCCTTTGAGAGGGGCCAGAGGAGCGCCGGGAGTTGTAGGCCGCGGGAGGTGGCTGCGCGGAGCGATGCACGCCGGGAGCTGTAGTTCCGGGAGAGGCGGTTGGCCGGCCCAGACCTGGCTCGGGCCTCACCCGGATGGCGGCTGGTTCGCGCGGCCGCCAGCCGTGGGGCTCGCGCCTCCTCGGGCTGCTCGGGCTGGTTTCGGTCTCGGTCGCGGCCGCCGCCTGGGACTTGGCTTCACTGCGCTGCAGCTTCGGCACCTTCTGCGAATGTGACTTCCAGCCCGACTTCCAGGGTGAGGAGCGGGCCGACCGGCGGCCCCACGGACCCCGGGCCGGGACCGGGAGGGCGGGACCGAGGGGCGGAAGGACCCCAGACTCCGCCGGCCCGGCCCGGAAGTGAGTCCTGTGTGAAGGGACCTGGGGCCAAGGTGTGGGGATGCTTGTTTGGGCCCCGGCAGAGCCCTGCAGGATGGAGAGGGGCCTTTGACAGCGGGGCCGCGGGGCAGGGTGAGGCCTCCCCGGGGGAATGGCCGCCCAGGGAGGGTCTCACCTTGGGAATAGGCCGAGGGTTCCGGGGCAGACCCTGTAGACCGCTGGCACCCTTAGGGCTGAGTACGATTCAGAGGGAGGCCTGGAGGGGGCGCTGCCAAGCTGAATTAGACCTGAGGGTGACTCCTGCAGCGGGAGCTCCCTGGTGAAAGCGTCCCGGGCCTTAGGGATCCCTAGACCGGGTTCCAGACATCACTTCCCCCTTGAACCTCTTCCGGCGGGAGCGTGTCCTCAACTCTGACCCTGTCCCTCTTGTGGCCCTAGGTCTGGAGTGTGACCTGGCCCAGCACCTGGCGGGCCAGCACTTGGCCAAGGCGCTGGTGGTGAAGGCGTTGAAGGCCTTTGTGCAGGACCCGGCCCCCACCAAGCCGCTGGTCCTCTCCCTGCACGGCTGGACAGGCACCGGCAAGTCCTATGTCAGCGCCCTGCTGGCCCACTACCTCTTCCGGGGTGGCCTCCGCAGCCCCTACGTGCACCACTTTTCCCCCGTCCTCCACTTCCCCCACCCCAGCCACATGGAGCGCTACAAGGTAGGCTGGTGGCATCCTGGGCCATCACGCCCCTGCGTCAGGGATGCCACACCTTGGGGAGGGAGGGGGTCCTACGCCCGAGAGGGAGATTCACTGTAGGCCACCCAGGCAGAGGGAGCCAGCCCTCAGGGCCCAACCCAAACAGGGCTCGGGAAGATGCCATCCTACCTGGCAGGGGGTTCTCGCTGTAGTTCTTTTTTCGGGGGGGGGGGGGGGACATTAATGGTATCTACCTGCCAGGGTGGTTCTGAAGAACATGAGATTATAGAATTACAGGAATTAATTATTGAGCACTTACCTTTGCCAGTCTGCACTATCTTCTCTCTGTAAAGCACTTAGCCCCAATTTGAGGCTCAGAGTAAGTACTTAGTAACTACAAGCTCTTATTGCTGCTGCTATTGCTATTATTTTTACTACTATCGTTCTTGACTGCAAGGCGCTTTCCAGGCTGAGCTAACTGCCACACGCCGAGAGCCCTGGCTGTGTGGCCCAGTTGGTTGAGCGCCTCCCTTGCACCAAAAAGCCACTGGTTAGATTCCCCGACGTGGCGCGTGCCTTACGCGGGTTTGATCCTCAGTAGGGGTCGTGCAGAAGGCGGCCGATCGATGTTTCTCTTTTCCTCTCCCTTCCTTTCTCTCTCAAATCAATTTTAAAACAACAACAAAACATTGCCCTAGCCTGTTTATCTCAGTGGATAGAGCATCAGTCTGCAAACTGAAAGATCCCAGGTTTGATTCCAGTCAAGGGCACATGGCGGGGTTGTGGGCTCAGTCCCCAGTGGGGGGACTTGCAGGAGGCAGCCGACCCATGATTCTCTCTCATCATGGATGTTTCTCTCTTTCTCTCTCTTCCTTCCTGTCTGAAATCAATAAAAATATATTTTTTAAATGGAACGGAAAAACACCCCCACAAAACTGCTGAGAACGTTCGTGGGGCAGGAAGGAGCCTCCCCTTTTATAGAAGCAGTAGATGTAGGGAAGGCACCCCGAAGGCAGGCGCAGGGCTGGGTTTGAGTCCCTGTTCTCCTGCTCACTTGCTGTTTGAACTGGGGCACGTCTCTGCCCCTCTCAGGGCCACAGTTTGCCATCAGTCCCATTTGGGATTGTCCATATTCTCCAGAGAAGGGGAAGCTTGGGAAGAAGTCTGGGGCTGGGGGTTTCTCCGGTCCCCCTCAAGCTCCTGCCTCTCTCCTGCAGAAGGATCTTAAGAGCTGGGTCCAGGGGAACCTCACTGTTTGTGGCCGCTCCCTCTTCCTCTTCGATGAGATGGACAAGCTGACCCCAGGCCTGATGGAGGTCCTACAGCCTTTCCTCGGCTCCTCCTGGGTGGTGTATGGGACCAACTACCGAAAAGCCATCTTCATCTTCATCAGGTGGGTGTGCTGTGAGGGGACACTTAGCGGTCCCAGCTCTCCGGTCTCAGTCTGTGGTCCCACAGCAGAATACCGTCCTCGGGATCCAATCAGACTTTCCCCAAGCCCCGCACCCTGGTGACGGTGCCATCCAAGGTGCTGCCTTCCCCTTTGACAATCTCGAAGCTTTTGGTCCTCGTTTCTTTGTGGAAGCCCTGCTGCTAGCTCCAGAGTCTCCCCTCTTCTGTGGCCAGGAGGACGCGGGCCCGGGAGAAACAGACTGGGGTTCTAGTGTCACCTCCACGAGTCCTTGCTGTGTTTCCTCAGGCAGATTACTTCACCTCTCTGAGCTCCCATCTCCTCCCTGCACAGCAGGGCCAAATGCATGCCCCGCTGTCCTAGAAGCTGGCTGAGGGGAAGTCAGTGAAGGGTCTTAAAAGTGTTAGGTAAACTGTAAAGTGCGCGGCACTTAGAGGTGAATTTTAGGGGTCATGGCTGTGGACTCTCTCTGGAACGGGAAGTGGTTCCTTTGGGATGTGTTGGTGGATTTGGCTCCTGCTGGCACTGAGGTCGTGGTAGGTGGCATGTGGGAAGCAGGGCCACCTCCACTGTCTGAGTCTCGGCCCGGGTCCCCGTGGTTTTAGCAACACCGGCGGCGAACAGATCAACCAGGCGGTGCTGGAGGCATGGCGCAGCCGCCGGGACCGCGAGGAGGTCCGCCTGCAGGAGCTGGAGCCGGTCATCTCGCAGGCGGTGCTGGACAACCCCCACCGTGAGTGTGGCTCGGAAGCCCCCCCTGGGGGTGGCTTCAGCGGGTGGGGCTTCGCACAGATCCATCGGGCTGGGATCTGATGCTCTGCCCACTGACC